CCTGTGCCGTGGACTTCCTGTGAGAGAGGCCTGAACGCCCTCGGGCCCCTGTGCCGTGGACTTCCTGTGAGAGAGGCCTGAACCCTCTCTTCCTTCCGGTCTGGAAGTCCGTCTGGGTGCTGATTCCCTGCGTGATCAGGGGCGTGTTCTGACCACCGCCTGTCTCACCCTGCTGTGAGGGAGGGTCCCCTTGCCCTAAATAGCAGGAGATGGTGGCACACATGACACCTGGCCCTGCACAGATGAGATGACGGCAGTTCACTAGTCACGTATGCTCACAGCCCAGGGAGGAGGATCCCGTGCCCACAGGGCCACACGGAGGCACACTCAGGAACGTGAACAGAGGGGCTGTGGGAGGCAGGCTTTCTAGTGACCAGAGGGTATGGTGCGTTCTGCTCCCTGCAGGAGGATGTGATGGGCTTGTTTGAATAATCTCACAAGCTTCCAGGGAGCAAGACCATTAGACTGAGGACCAGGGTGGGTGCATCTGGTCCGGTTGATAGGGGAATAGCCAGGTGGGGAAACTTCTCTGCTGCGTGGGGGCATATCTAGCGAGAGCAGGGACTCACAGCTAGACCCTTGGGGTTCCATGAGGTTTAGCAATGTCAGGGCAGCACTTAAGATTTTAGGACTTACAGTGCAGAGGTTACAGCTTTAATCCTCTCATGTAACCTCCTCTGGTCCCCAAAGCTGGCTACAGAAGGATCATCTGGGAGCTTGTGAGAAACACAGGTTGCCTGTCCTCTGCACCTCCGAGGCCACACCCAGGACCGGCCTTCTGCGTCCTGTCCCTGCACCTCCGAGGCCACACCCAGGACTGGCCTTCTGTGTCCTGTCCCTGCACCTCCGAGGCCTCACCCAGGACCGGCCTTCTGTGTCCTGTCCCCTGCGCCTCCGAGGCCACACCCAGGACCGGCCTTCTGTGTCCTGTCCCCTGTGCCTCCGAGGCCCAGGCTCCTCACAGTCTGCCCGTCCTCACCCGCCAGGGAAGGTTTGGAAGATGGCGCTCAAAGGGGCCCAGTGCAAAGAAGAAATTCCACTGAAATCTTAGGTTTTCTCCTAAAAGCTAATGAGGATAATTGACTTTAGGCCGTTATACGTGTTTGGTCTGGTTTTAGGAGACACGTGGTGTTTAAAGTTGCTGTGGGTAATCTGGTGTCACCGCCCCACTGTGGCCTGTTTGCTCTCAGCTGACTAGCACAGATACCGCCACGTTTCCTGGTGTATGCACAGGCCCCCAAATTCTCAGCCTCTCATCACATAAAATGTTCTACTTTGAGTTTTTATGAAGAAAACAGACAGAGAAAGATGGAATTTGCTGGTGTAGACACACAGAAGTTCACTGATAACGCATGCATGGCCATACACCAGGACCTCTGAATAAAGCAAAACCAAACCCAAACAAAAACAAAGCACCCCGCCCCCATCATGCACTTGTCCCTCCAGGGAGAGGGTCCATGTCCGTCCGTCCGTCAGAGCTGAGTACTGGGGTCAGCAGATGCCAGCGCAGGCTCCACCGAGGCCCGGGCCCTCCTGTCCCTGGCTGGTGCCCTTCCGCCCCGGCCCCCTGCCTCCTGGGCCTGGGCCTTGCCCGTGCTGGGCCTGACTGCTGGGCTGGGCTGGGCTGGGCTGGGTCTGCCTCTGCTGGGCTGGGTCTGCCTCTGCTGGGCTGGGCTGGGCTGGG